CCACAAAATGCAACAACAAATAATATCATTAGCTTACAATAAGTATAACTGTCAAAAATGACTGGGAAAAATAACAATATTACATAAAATATTTTGGCCAATGTATCTATTTTAATAAATTAATGGGCGTCACTGCTTCACATACGCTTTCATACAATGGATACACACAAGGTAAAAAAAATTCAAATTGAATCATTAATTGCAAATACCATGGGCAGAAAATGTAATGACAAATCATTTTGGACGTAGACTATTTTATTGTATACTTGCTGACAAATATTTTGTTGGATGATTTATTTAAAAGAGATGCTGCAAATAGTTGCGCAAGTTTGTGCAGGGTGTGAGTTGATATTCACCTGAAATCTACAAATGCAATAAGCATACTATACCCACCTACTGTAAAATTCCTAATTGAGGCCGCGGCTTTAATTAAAATTCAATTTTTTAATCGGTGACTTCAGATTCGTGAAGTCTGGGTGCGGCTTTCATTAGAACATTCACTTTGGTAACGGTGGGAAAATATTTCCGAGAACAATGGCCTGAAGGGATAATGACATGCTAATGAGATGCATGACATTTGATTACAACTTAAAAGAAACTTTGTTGCAATTCTATGTGCTCTTTCTGAGAAAATGTTAGAGATGTAAAGGAAATGTCACCGGAACCGGCAATAAGAGACTATACCTGCTTTTCCGGCTGCGTCTGAAACATGGACTGAAAAGGTATATTCACTGGATTTTATTTTCACTGAATAATTCCTTTACTGAAAATTAATTCCAAGCAAAAATAAAGTATTCTACAGCATGTTTACAGAAAGTCTTGGGATACCTTCAACAGATGAATAAAACAAAGACAAGCTGGATATACTCACACCTGTTTTATGGTAATAAATTAGACACTATTCCCACGGTACATTGCAAACTGGCCAGGGTAGCCTTCATTCAAGATGCCTAGTGGATGCGACACCTTGCATAAACTGTAATGGCAAGGCTGTAACATCTGTAAATCATTTTGGTAACTGACTTTTACATCCCAAATTTGACTTTTACTAATCGACTCGTAATGTTCATATCTAGCAAAGCCATGCAACTGCATATCATATTTCGATATGATACACTGAATGTTTTTTAGCGCCAGGTTTTAACCAATAAACATGCGTTGTCTGAAAATATTTCGAGTGAGATCAACTACTTTTATACATACACCGTCTCTTAGTAGTGCATGTGATTACAAAAATTACCTAGGTGTTTCTACGGTCAAAATAATATTTTAATGATTCTATATGCAACAAATGCAATTATTGGTTCAAATGTAATTCAATTGGAAATGTACTTCTGATACTGCAAATACATTTTGTATATGAAACAATAGATACGGATAGAAAATGAGGAACAGTTTTCTAATGTTATGACTGAGACAAAGGATAAGGTCATATGTCACTGACCCTATGAAGAAACCTTGTCCCCAAGACGAGCATTTGTAATGCAGTTTGGTTTCTCATACAGGAATGAGCATGCTAGAATGCTGAACGAACTGGCATGCTGAGGTGAGATTTAAGCTGACATTTACGTTCATGAATCCTCCCCCTACAGCATCACAGTGCAATCTTTGCACAGAGACAGGGTTCAGAAACAGCCCTGGAAATCTATCGAAAACCGGCAGCAACATGCCATAATAAAAACATTACAGAATAGACACCAACTTGCAACTCACTACATTCCTTATTACGCATTGACAAATGTTGCTTCTAATCAATCTGATTAGCAACTGATGATAAGCAATCATTTTTGTATCAGACAGTGATGAAATTAAAATTCTAGAATTGCACAAGAGAGAAGATGTACTTAATCTAGTTCATACCAAGGATATACATTAATTACATGAATTTCTATTAGTAATATTAAATACATTATGCGATCAATTACAGAACTGTTAATCATTCAAACGAACCGAGCTTCAGCCCCTCAGAGTTGGGATAATTGAGATTTGACTATTTATGACGACAACTATAAGTTGAGCATTTCTGTGACCATTTGGGGCGTGCTACTCTGCCAGAAAAGGCAACTCACTGAAGTAAAGATAGAACAGTAGACGGCTAATCACATGACCATTGCAAGAAAACTAAGTTCGACGAGAAAAACGAGGGCAACATTACTATTACAAGGCTTGAAACACAGTCCTGCATCAAATAATTTCTACGCAACACTAGAAGTTTGATTCAAGTCAGTCAAAGTCAAGTCAATCAGAAGCCACTTACCAATAGACATGATTGGTTGGTAAAGAACAATTGTGATTATAAAATGCCCACTAGAGGGCAGTAGATGCATACACTTCATTATAATATTACTGAAACTTACCCCTTTTAATGATGGATATCGATGGGACTTTGGCCTCTTGATACCATTACGATGGTTCTTGTAATCTGACAACAGAACATTGATGAGAAAAATACAATCACCTTTCTTGATCCATTTAATCTATTTCTACTGCTTTTATTGTTTGTGTTGGGTTGGGTTTGTTGTTAAAATTTTCATCAAAAAAATATAATCCTTTGAAAAGCAGTTTATGCAGAGACTAAACAGCTATTATGTACACAACAAATATAGTAGTAAGTCACTATGG